TTCCATTGCTACTATAAGGAAAACGGCCTCCGGAAGCTGCTGTAAAAATCTGGGCGCGATCCGACGGCCGGATCGCAGCTTATGGCACTTTGGGCCGCCGTTCTTGCCCGGCACGAACCGGAACGCTGTGGGGCCCGGTCGCGCTTCCCCGCGCCGCCTCCCCTCGTGCGGCGGAGCTTGAGCAGCGTGGCAGGCTCCCGTGGCTCTCCCCGCGGGCGCCCTCGAAGCGCTTATAGCAATTGCGCGTGCATCGACTCACGGGTGCGATCATACCAGCACTAATGCACCGGATCCCATCAGAACTTCGCAGTTAAACGTGCTTGGGCGAGAGTAGTACTAGGATGGGTGACCTCATGGGAAGTCCTCGTGTTGCCCCCCTCCTTTTTGCCCGTTTCCCGAGCGGCCCCCTGCTTGCCGCATCCTCTTCTTTCATCCTTCTCCCGCCCCCTTTTCCTTTCCCGGGAGGCTTCCCCGCCTGCCGAGGATCGGGGAACGCGGTTTCCCGCGGGAGGAGCGAGGGAGGCGCAGGGGCCCCGGGGCGAGGACCGCACGATCTAAAGATCCGGCGGTCGGCGTGCGATTCCATTGCTACTATAAGGAAAACGGCCTCCGGAAGCTGCTTAAAAAATCTGGGCGCGATCCGACGGCCGGATCGCAGCTTATGGCACTTTTGGGCCGCCGTTCTTGGCCCGGCACGAACCGGAACGCTGCGTGGCCCGGTCCGCGCTTCCCCTCGCCGCCTCCCTCGTGGCGGCGGAGCTTGAGCAGCGTGGCAGCTCCCGTGGCTCTCCCCGCGGGCGCCCTCGAAGCGCTAATAGCAATTGCGCGTGCATCGACTCACGGGTGCGATCATACCAGCACTAATGCACCGGATCCCATCAGAACTCCGCAGTTAAACGTGCTTGGGCGAGAGTAGTACTAGATGGGTGGACCTCATGGGAAGTCCTCGTGTTGCACCCCTCCTTTTGCCCGTTTCCCGAGCGGCCCCCTGCTTGCCGCAATCCTCTTCTTTCATCCTTCTCCCGCCCCCTTTTCCTTTCCCGGGAGGCTTCCCCGCCTGCCGAGGATCGGGGAACGCGGTTTCCCGCGGGAGGAGCGAGGGAAGGCGCAGGGCCCCGGGGCGAGGACCGCACGATCTAAAGATCCGGCGGTCGGCGTAGCGATTCCATTGCTACTATAAGGAAAACGGCCTCCGGAAGCTGCTGTAAAAATCTGGGCGCGATCCGACGGCCGGATCGCAGCTTATGGCACTTTTGGGCCGCCGTTCTGGCCCGGCACGAACCGGAACGCTGCGGGGCCCGGTCGCGCTTCCCCGCGCCTCCTCCCCTCGTGCGGCTGAGCTTGAGCAGCGTGGCAGGCTCCCGTGGCTCTCCCCGCGGGCGCCCTCGAAGCGCTTATAGCAATTGCGCGTGCATCGACTCACGGGTGCGATCATACCAGCACTAATGCACCGGATCCCATCAGAACTCCGCAGTTAAACGTGCTTGGGCGAGAGTATACTAGGATGGGTGACCTCCTGGGAAGTCCTCGTGTTGCCCCCTCCTTTTTGCCCGTTTTCCCGAGCGGCCCCGCCCTGCTTGCCCGCAATCCTCTTCTTTCATCCTTCTCCCGCCCCCTTTTCCTTTCCCGGGAGGCTTCCCCGCCTGCCGAGGATCGGGGAACGCGGTTTCCCGCGGCAGGAGCGAGGGAAGGCGCAGCAGGCTCAGGGCCCCGGGGCGAGGACCGCACGATCTAAAGATCCGGCGGTCGGCGTAGCGATTCCATTGCTACTATAAGGAAAACGGCCTCCGGAAGCTGCTGTAAAAATCTGGGCGCGATCCGACGGCCGGATCGCAGCTTATGGCACTTTGGGGCCGCCGTTCTGGCCCGGCACGAACCGGAACGCTGCTGGGGCCCGGTCGAGCTTCCCGCGCCGCCTCCCCTCGTGCGCGGAGCTTGAGCAGCGTGGCAGGCTCCCGTGGCTCTCCCCGCGGGCGCCCTCGAAGCGCTTATAGCAATTGCGCGTGCATCGACTCACGGGTGCGATCATACCAGCACTAATGCACCGGATCCCATCAGAACTCCGCAGTTAAACGTGCTTGGGCGAGAGTAGTACTAGGATGGGTGACCTCCTGGGAAGTCCTCGTGTTGCACCCCATCCTTTTTGCCCGTTCCCGAGCGGCCCCCTGCTTGCCCGTCCCCTTCTTTCATCTTCTTTCTCCCGCCCCCTTTTCCTTTCCCGGGAGGGCTTCCCCGCCTGCCGAGGATCGGGGAACGCGGTTTGCCCGGCGAGGAGCGAGGGAAGGCGGCAGGGCCCCCGGGGCGAGACCGCACGATCTAAAGATCCGGCGGTCGCGTAGCGATTCCATTGCATACTAATAAGGAAAACGGCCTCCGGAAGCTGCTTTAAAATCTGGGCGCGATCCGACGCCGGATCGCAGCTTATGGCACTTTTGTGCCGCCGTTCTGGCCCGCACGAACGTAACGCTGCGGGAGCCCGGTCGTGCTTCCCCGCGCCGCCTCCCCTCGTGCGGCGGAGCTTGAGCAGCGTGCAGGCTCCCGTGGCTCTCCCCGCGGGCGCCCTCGAAGCGCTTATAGCAATTGCGCGTGCATCGACTCACGGTGCGATCATACCAGCACTAATGCACCGGATCCCATCAGAACTCCGCAGTAACGTGCTTGGGCGAGGAGTAGTACTAGGATGGGTGGACCTCCTGGGAAGTCTCGTGTTGCCACACCTCCCTTTTTGCCCGTTTCCCGAGCGGCCCCCTGCTTGCCGCATCCTCTTCTTTCATCCTTCTCCCGCCCCGTTTCCTTTCCCGGAGGCTTCCCCGCCTGCCGAGGATCGGGGAACGCGGTTTCCCCGGGAGGAGCGAGGGAAGGCGCAGGCCCGGGGCGAGGACCGCACGATCTAAAGATCCGGCGGTCGGCGTAGCGATTCCATTGCTACTATAAGGAAAACGGCCTCCGGAAGCTGCTGTAAAAATCTGGGCGCGATCCGACGGCCGGATCGCAGCTTATGGCACTTTTGGGCCGCGTTCTGGCCCGGCACGAACCGGAACGCTGCGGGGCCCGGTCGCGCTTCCCGCGCCGCCTCCCCTCGTGCGGCGGGGCTTGAGCAGCGTGGCAGGCTCCCGTGGCTTCTCCCCGCGGCGCCCTCGAAGCGCTTATAGCAATTGCGCGTGCATTGAACAGCACGGTGCGATCATAACAGCACTAATGCAACCGGATCCATCAGAACGCCGCAGTGAAACGTGCTTGGGCGAGAGTAGTAACGAGGATGGGTGGACCTCCTGGGAAGTCCTCGTGTTGCCACCCAGCCGGTTTGCCCGTTTCCGAGCGGCCCCGGCTTGCCGCATCTCTTCTTTCACATCCTTCTCCGCCCCTTTTCCTTCCCGGGAGGCTTCGCCGCCTGGCCGAGGATCGGGGGAAACGCGGTTTCCCCTGCGGGAGGAGCGAGGGAAGGCGCAAGGGCCCCGGGTCGGAGCCGCACGAATCTAAAGAAATCCGGCGGTGCGGCGTAGCGATTCAATTGCTACTATAAAGGAAAACGGCCTCCGGAAGCTGCTGTAAGAATCTGGGCGCGATCCGACGGCCGGATCGCAAGCTTATGGCACGTTGTGTGCCGCCGTGCGGGCCCGGCACGAACCGGAACGCTGTGGGGCCCGTCCGCGCTTCCTCCCGCGCCGCTCCTCCCTCGTGCGGCGGAGCTTGAGCAAGCAGGGGCAGGCTCCCGTGGCTCTCCCCGCGGGCCGCCCTCGAAGCGCTTATAGCAATTGCGCGTGCAATCGAATCACGTGGCGATCATACCGCAGCCTAATGCAACGGATCCATCAAACGGATCCATCAGACGTAGCAGTTAAAATGTGCTTGGGGCGAGAGTAGTACTATGGATGGGTGGACCTCATGGGAAGTCCTCAGGTTGCACCCCATCCTTTTTGCCCGTTCCCGTAGCCTTGGCCTCCTGCTTGCCCCTGCCGCACGCTCGTCTTGCCGAATCTTTCATCCGTCTCCCGCCCCCTCTTCCTTTCCCGGGAGGCTCCCCGCCTGCCCGGATCGGGAGGAACGCCGGTTTCACTCGGCAGGAGGAGGGAAGCTGCAGCAGGCCTAAGGGCCCCCGGGGCGAGGAAGTGCAACTGATCTAAAGATCCGGCGGTCGGCGTAGCGATTCCATCGCTACTATAAGGAAAACGGCCTCCGGAAGCTGCTGTAAAAATCTGGGCGCGATCCGAACGGCCGGATCGCAGGTATGGGCACTTTTGGGCCGCCGTTCTGGCCCGGCACGGAACCGGAACGCTGCGGGGCCCCGGTCCGCGCTTCCCCGAGCCGCCTCCCCTGCGTGCGGCGGAGCCTTGACCCGCGTGGCAGCCTCCCGTGGCTCTCCCGCGGGCGCCCTCGAAGCGCTTATAGCAATTGCGCGTGCATCGACTCACGGTGCGATCATACAGCACTAATGCACCGGATCCCATCAGAACTCCGCAGTTAACGTGCTTGGGCGAGAGTAGACTAGGATGGGTGACCTCCTGGGAAGTCCTCGTGTTGCACCCCCTCCTTTTTGCCCGTTTCCCGAGCGGCCCCCTGCTTGCCGCATCCTCGTCTTATCATCCTTCTCCCGCCCCCTTTTCCTTTCCCGGAGGCTTCCCCGCCTGCCGAGGATCGGGAACGCGGTTTCCGCGGGAGGACGAGGGAAGGCGCAGGGCCCCGGGGCGAGGACCGTCACGATCTAAAGATCCTGCGGTCGGCGTAGCGATTCCATTGCTACTATAAGGAAAACGGCCTCCGGAAGCTGCTGTAAAAATCTGGCGCGATCCGACGGCCGGATCGCAGCTTATGGCACTTTGGGCCGCCGTTCTGGCCCGGCACGAACCGGAACGCTGCGGGGCCCGGTCGCGCTTCCCCGCGCCGCCTCCCGCCCCCCGCGTGCGGCGGAGCTTGAGCAGCTTGGCAGGCTCCCGTGGCTCGCCTCCCGCGGGCGCCCTCGAAGCGCTTATAGCAATTGCGCGTGCATTGAACTCACGGGTGCGATCATACCAGCATAATGCCTGGATCCCATCAGAACTCCGCAGTTAAACGTGCTTGGGGCGAGAGTAGTACTAGGATGGGTGACCCTCCTGGGAAGTCCGCGGGTTGCCACCCCTCCTTTTGCCCGTTTCCGCGAGCGGCCCCCTGCTTGCCCGCATCCTCTTCTTTCATCCTCTTCCTCCCCGGCCCCCTTTCCTTCCCGGAAGGCTTCCCCGCCTGCCGAGGATCGGCGAACGCTGTTTCCCGCTGGAGGAGCAGGGGAAAGGCGCAGAGGCTGCAGGGGCCCCGGGGCGAGGAGTGCAAGAATTAAGATCGGCGGTCGGCGTAGCGATTCCATGGGCTACTCTAAGGGAAAACGGCCTCCGGAAGCTGCTGTAAAAATCTGGGCGCGATCCAACGGCCGGATCCAGGTTATGCCCTTTTGGGCCGGCGCTCTGGCCCGGCCCGGCCCGTCACGCTGCGGGGCGCGGTCGGGCTTCCCTGAGCCGCCGCCCTCGCGCGGCGGCGCCTGACCCGCGTGGCAGCCTCCTGTGGCCCTCCCCGCCGCCGCCCTCGAACCGCTTATAGCAATTGCGCGTGCATCGACTCACGGGTGCGATCGTACCAGCACTAATGCACCGGATCCCATCAGAACTCCGCAGTTAAACGTGCTTGGGCGAGAGTAGTACTAGGATGGGTGACCTCCTGGGAAGTCCTCGTGTTGCACCCCACCCTTTTGCCCGTTCCCCGTGCCGCTGGCCTCCTGCTTGCCCGTTCCCCGTGTCTTCATCTTTTCTCCTTCTCCCGCCCCCCTCTTCCTTTCCCGAGAGGCTTCCCCGCCTGCCCCGGATCGGAGAACGCGGTTTCCCTCGGGAGGAGTGCAAGATCTAAGGGCCCCGGGGCGAGGAGTGCAAGATCTAAAGATCCGGCGGTCGGCGTAGCGATTCCATGGCTACTATAAGGAAAACGGCCTCCGGAAGCTGCTGTAAAAATCTGGGCGCGATCCAACGGCCGGATCGCAGGTTATGGCCATTTTGGGCCGGCGCTCTGGCCCGGCCCGGCCCGTCACGCTGCGGGGCCCGGTCGGGCTTCCCCGAGACGCCTCCCCTCGCGCGGCGGCGCCTGACCCGCGTGGCAGCCTCCCGTGGCTCTCCCCGCCGGCGCCCTCGAAAGGCATATAGCAATTGCGTGCATCAACTCACGGGTGCGATCATACCCGCACTAATGCACCGGATCCCATCAGAACTCCGCAGTTAAACGTGCTTGGGCGAGAGTAGTACTAGGATGGGTGACCTCCTGGGAAGTCCTCGTGTTGCACCCCACCTTTTTGCCCGTTCCCCGTGCCGCTGGCCTCCTGCTTGCCCGTTCCCCGTGTCTTCATCTTTTCTCCTGCTCCCGCCCCCCTCTTCCTTTCCCGAGAGGCTTCCCCGCCTGCCCCGGATCGTAGAACGCGGTTTCACTCGGGAGGAGTGCTGCAATCTAAGGGCCCCGGGGCGAGGAGTGCAAGATATAAAGATGAAAAGTTGTTAAATGTGCTTGGGCGAGAGTAGTACTAGGATGGGTGACCTCCTGGGAAGTCCTCGTGTTGCACCCCACCTTTTTGCCCGTTCCCCGTGCCGCTGGCCTCCTGCTTGCCCGTTCCCCGTGTCTTCATCTTTTCTCCTTCTCCCGCCCCCCTCTTCCTTTCCCGAGAGGCTTCCCCGCCTGCCCCGGATCGTAGAACGCGGTTTCACTCGGGAGGAGTGCTGCAATCTAAGGGCCCCGGGGCGAGGAGTGCAAGATATAAAGATCCGGCGGTCGGCGTAGCGATTCCATGGCTACTATAACGAAAACGGCCTCTGGAAGCTGCTGTAAAAATCTGGGCGCGATCCAACGGCCGGATCGCAGGTTATGGCCCTTTTGGGCCGGCGCTCTGGCCCGGCCCGGCCCGTCACGCTGCGGGGCGCGGTCGGGCTTCCCCGAGCCGCCACACCTCGCGCGGCGGCGCCTGACCCGCGTTGCAGCCTCCCGTGGCTCTCCCCGCCGCCGCCCTCGAACCGCTTATAGCAATTGCGCGTGCATCGACTCACGGGTGCGATCATACCAGCACTAATGCACCGGATCCCATCAGAACTCCGCAGTTAAACATGCTTGGGCGAGAGTAGTACTAGGATGGGTGACCTCCTGGGAAGTCCTCGTGTTGCAGCCCACCTTTTTGCTCGTTCCCCGTGCCGCTGGCCTCCTGCTTGCCCGTTCCCCGTGTCTTCATCTTTTCTCCTTCTCCCGCCCCCCTCTTCCCTTTCCCGAGAGGCTTCCCCGCCTGCCCCGGATCGGAGAACGCGGTTTCACTCGGGAGGAGTGCTGCAATCTAAGGGCCCCGGGGCGAGGAGTGCAAGATCTAAAGATCCGGCGGTCGGCGTAGCGATTCCATGGCTACTATAAGGAAAACGGCCTCCGGAAGCTGCTGTAAAAATCTGGGCGCGATCCAACGGCCGGATCGCAGGTTATGGCCCTTTTGGGTCGGCGCTCTGGCCCGGTCCAGCCCGGCACGCTGCGGGGCCCGGTCGGGCTTCCCCGAGCCGCCTCCCCTCGCGCGGCGGCGCCTGACCCGCGTGGCAGCCTCCCGTGGCCCTCCCCGCCGGCGCCCTCGAACCGCTTATAGCAATTGCGCGTGCATCGACTCATAGGTGCGATCAAACCAGCACTAATGCACCGGATCCCATTAGAACTCCGTAGTTAAACGTGCTTGGGCGAGAGTAGTACTAGGATGGGTGACCTCCTGGGAAGTCTTCGTGTTGCACCCCACCCTTTTGCCCGTTCCCCGTGCCGCTGGCCTCCTGCTTGCCCGTTCCCCGTGTCTTCATCTTTTCTCCTTCTCCCGCCCCCCTCTTCCTTTCCCGAGAGGCTTCCCCGCGTGCCCCGGATCGGAGAACACGGTTTCCCTCGGGAGGAGTGCTGCAATCTAAGGGCCCCGGGGCGAGGAGAGCAAGATCTAAAGATCCGGCGGTCGGCGTAGCGATTCAATGGCTACTATAAGGAAAACGGCCTCCGGAAGCTGCTGTAAAAATCTGGGCGCGATCCAACGGCCGGATCGCAGGTTATGGCCCTTTTGGGCCGGCGCTCTGGCCCGGCCCGGCCCGTCACGCTGCGGGGCCCGGTCGGGCTTGCCCGAGCCGCCTCCCCTCGCGCGGCGGCGCCTGACCCGCGTGGCAGCCTCCCGTGGCCCTCCCCGCCGGCGCCCTCGAACCGGTTATAGCAATTGCGCGTGCATCGACTCACGGGTGCGATCATACCAGCACTAATGCACCGGATCCCATCAGAACTCCGCAGTTAAACATGCTTGGGCGAGAGTAGTACTAGGATGGGTGACCTCCTGGGAAGTCCTCGTGTTGCACCCCACCTTTTTGCCCGTTCCCCGTGCCGCTGGCCTCCTGCTTGCCCGTTCCCCGTGTCTTCATCTTTTCTCCTTCTCCCGCCCCCCTCTTCCTTTCCCGAGAGGCTTCCCCGCCTGCCCCGGATCGGAGAACGTGGTTTCCCTCGGGAGGAGTGCTGCAATCTAAAGGCCCCGGGGCGAGGAGTGCAAGATCTAAAGATCCGGCGGTCGGCGTAGCGATTCCATGATACTATAAGGAAGACGGCCTCCGGAAGCTGCTGTAAAAATCTGGGCGCGATCCAACGGCCGGATCGCAGGTTATGGCCCTTTTGGGCCGGCGCTCTGGCCCGGCCCGGCCCGGCCCGTCACGCTGCGGGGCCTTGTCGGGCTTCCCCGAGCCGCCTCCCCTCGCGCGGCGGCGCCTGAACCGCGTGGCAGCCTCCCGTGGCTCTCCCCGCCGGCGCCCTCGAACCGCTTATAGCAATTGCGCGTGCATCGACTCACGGGTGCGATCATACCAGCACTAATGCACCGGATCCCATCAAAACTCCGCAGTTAAACGTGCTTGGGCGAGAGTAGTTCTAGGATGGGTGACCTCCTGGGAAGTCCTCGTGTCGCACCCCACCTTTTTGCCCGTTCCCCGTGCCGCTGGCCTCCTGCTTGCCCGTTCCCCTTGTCTTCATCTTTTCTCCTTCTCCCGCCCCCCTCTTCCTTTCCCGAGAGGCTTCCCCGCCTGCCTCGGATCGAAGAATGCAGTTTCCCTCGGGGGGAGTGCTGCAATCTAAGGGCTCCGGGGCGAGGAGTGCAAGATCTAAAGATCCGGCGGTCGGCGTAGCGATTCCATGGCTACTGTAAGGAAAACGGCCTCCGGAAGCTGCTGAAAAAATCTGGGCGCGATCCAACGGCTGGATCGCAGGTTATGGCCCTTTTGGGCCGGCGCTCTGGCCCGCCCCGGCCCGTCACCCTCGCGCGGCGGCGCCTGACCCGCGTGGCAGCCTCCCGTGGCCCTCCCCGCCGGCGCCCTCGAACCGCTTATAGCAATTGCGCGTACATCGACTGACGGGTGCGATCATACCAGCACTAATGCACCGGATCCCATCAGAACTCCGCAGTTAAACGTGCTTGGGCGAGAGTAGTACTAGGATGGGTGACCTCCTAGGCAGTCCTCGTGTGGCACCCCACCTTTTTGCCCGTTCCCCGGGCCGCTGGCCTCCTGCTTGCCCGTTCCCCGTGTCTTCATCTTTTCTCCTTCTCCCGCCCCCCTCTTCCTTTCCCGAGAAGCTTCCTCGCCTGCCCCGTATCGGAGAACACGGTTTCCCTCGGGAGGAGTGCAAGATCTAAGGGCCCCGGGGCGAGGTAGTGCAAGATCTAAAGATCCGGCTGGTCGGCGTAGCGATTCCATGCTACTATAGGAAAACGGCCTCCGGAAGCTGCTGTAAAAATCTGGGGCGCGATCCAACGGCCGGGATCGCAGGTTATGGCCCTTTTGGGCCGGTCGCTGCTGGCCCGGCCCGGCCCGTCACGCTGCGGGGACCGGTCGGGCTTCCCCGAGCCGCCTCCCCTCGCGCGGCGGCGCCTGACCCGCGTCGCAACCTCCCGTGGCCCTCCCCGCCGGCGCCCTCGAACCGCTTATAGCAATTGCGCGTGCATCGACTCACGGGTGCGATCATACCAGCACTAAGGCACCGGATCCCATCAGAACTTCGTAGTTAAACGTGCTTGGGCGAGAGTAGTACTAGGATGGGTGACCTCCTGGGAAGTCCTCGTGTTGCACCCCACCTTTTTGCCCGTTCCCCGTGCCGCTGGCCTCCTGCTTGCCCGTTCCCCGTGTCTTCATCTTTTCTCCTTCTCCCGCCCCCCTCTTCCTTTCCCGAGAGGCTTCCCCGCCTGCCCCGGATCGGAGAACACGGTTTCCCTCGGGACGAGTGCAAGATCTAAGGGCCCCGGGGCGAGGAGTGCAAGATCGAAAGATCCGGCGGTCGGCGTAGCGATTCCATGCTACTATAAGGAAAACGGCCTCCGGAAGCTGCTGTAAAAATCTGGGCGCGATCCAACGGCCGGATCCCAGGTTATGATCCCTTTTGGGCCGGCGCTCTGGCCCGGCCCGGCCCGTCACGCTGCGGGTCCCGGTCAGGCTTCCCCGAGCCGCCTCCCCTCGCGCGGCGGCGCCTGACCCGCGTGGCAGCCTCCTGTGGCCCTCCCCGCCGGCGCCCTCGAACCGCTTA